CATCCACCTTTTTTTCTTTTCTTATTTGGTGGACATTGTGAAAGTGATTCAAATGATATTGTTGCCACTGTGCAATATGTTATTGTTGAGTTGAGCGACTCTGCTATCCAATTTTGAACTTTTTTTTTTTCTTTTAAAATTATATTTATAATTTATATTTATAATATAAAATTTATAATATAATTATATTATATTAATCATAATGTGTTTCTGCAAAGATCCAGGATTTCCCAGGTATGCTGAACTTCTACCACATCACAGTCATTCAGTTCTTCAAGAGTAACTGGTCTGAGATCAGAGCCGGTGCTGCCATGTTCATTGGTAAAAACCTTTTTTATTTTTATTATTTCAGTGTTTAGTATTGCAAATATGTAGGCTTCATAGATTAGTTTTTAAACTTTAATATTACAATACAATATTAAAAAAAACCCTACTATTTTTTCCTACTATTATTTTGTGATGGCTTTGTAACCGTATTTTTGTGAATTTTTAGGGTTTTTGCTTGGAAACCTTCATGATGAGCATTTCTCCCATATGAATATGGGGTCAGTGACCAAGGGTAGGTACAGCAGTTCTATAATAATATCTGCAGTCAAGAGATATATTTAAGGAAGGACAACACATCCTTGTTATTGTGCTACATTTGCTGTTTCTTGGCACCTAAGGAATCTATTATTTTTGCTTCTATTTTAATGGTGATTTTGTCTGGTAGTGCATTGTAGAATGTATTGCTGTTGAAACTCAAAAAAAAGAAAAAATGCACCATGCTCTTGGTTATCACCTGACTTGTATGTTCAATGAAACTAATTTTTGTTTGATCAATGGACTAAGTTATATTTCCCTTGTATGTTTTCCTCTCTCCAGGTCTGGTGATGCTGCTGCAGGATCCAGATCCTCTCGTGCGAGTGAAAGCCGCTGAAGCCATGGGTCATTTTCACTGACGTTACCTCAACTCTACAGCCAATCAGATTGGTCTTTTGATTTTAAGTTTGTTGCTTTGAATTATTGTTCTAAAGGTTTTTTTTTTTTTTTTTTTTTTTGACCAAAGACTGTTCACTAGTTCTGTAAGAAAAGAGACGAATAAAAAAAGACATATATTGACGTTACAGCACTTTAACTGCAAGTACTCTCAGATATACACGGTGTGTGTGTGTGTGTGTGTGTGTGTGTGTGTCTGATCCCTAGAGGGGGGTTTTCACCTGCGTTGGATTTTAATGTAAGGTATGTACTTTCAAGCCCTTTACAAATGAGATATACTGAAGTTTGTATGCAAGTACACTGATATTGCTGGTATTACTTGTTTGACCATTCCTGTATCCTGCTAAATGCATATCAACACTTCATTAAAGGGGTCATGAATTGACATGCAAGAGGTCACTGTACAATAAAAAGCATTCTAAACGTTTCAGAACTTAAAACATTCGTTGTTAGTCCAAAAACATATTTTATTGAAACCAAGCTCTGAAAATGACTCATTTCAGATGTTGTCACATTTATGACATAGTGCAAGTAAAGACCGCCCCTGCAGAATCAGATCGATGCCTACTTCTACATCATAAAATCTGGCGTGTTAGTGAGATGAGAAGAGCGATAAATGATCATCACTAGACTAAAAATAACATTACCTTCTAAAGCATCCTAATGATAGGAAAGTAGGTACATTTCATTGTGGATTCTTCGGTAAATCAGTCGCAATTTTGGTGCAAGTTTTGAAAACAGACAGTAATGCCCAACATGTAAGTAACGGTTAATTCTAATGCCTGATCTGCAATCAGTGATTTCTGATATGTAATGATTTCTGATCCGTCAGATGTTTTTTGTCTCAAAATCGTTTATTTCTGTTTATGTGTCAGTAAATCAAGCCAATGAAAAAACGGTCAACTTGACATCGTTTCTCTTAGTAGCACAAACATAATCTGTTATTTATATTGTGATAATTATAAACATAAAGCAGTGATAATTATAAACATAATTTATGACGCTGTCTACTCCGCACAATGAATCTCTTATAAACATCTTATTTGCACTGTTAGTTAAGATTAAATTGAGTAGGTCTAAATATAATGTGTAGAGAGTAGATCTAAAAATAGACCTAATGCTATTTGCATTATTAGTTGATCTAGATAGCTGCAATAGTAAAAATGTAGTAAAAGTGTTTGAGAGTTAGATGTTAGCCAATCATAGAAGTGGGCGTGTACATCTCACAGCAGACACGCCCCTGAAAACTAGCGGGACTCAAATTTGAGGGCTAAAATCAGTGAAGAAAATTGGCTTTTACATCTAAATTATGACATTTTCTGATTTAAAAGTCACACTAACGTTATAATTGCACCTCTGAAAACATAAAATAAAAAAGTTCATGACCCCTTTAAATCATTAAAAATGTATGTAGGATGAATCAATATATTAGAAACTACAATCAACACTGTTTTTCGGGTTATGAAATCTGATGTACTGCTCGGTTTGAGTTTAATCCTCTAAAAATGTTATAAGTAGACTGTTGAGTCATATTGGCCACCCTATACCTTTAGCAATAAATCACCGTAATACGGATGTGCATTAGCATAATCTGCTTAGCCATTAACTGCACCTGAAATCTCCTGTTGTCCTTAATCAAAAAAGATAAGCATTATAGTGTTTTTGCTGTGACATCTGTGGTTTCTGATTGTACCTCATGCACCATAGTGATAAAAACAAAATTGTGCTTCCTTCTCATCCAAGTCGGAAAAGTAGACCATATTCACTGTAAAATCTTACATTGTTCTTACTAAGATTTTTTTTTGTTAACTTAACTTAATGTCTAATAATTTGTTGAACTTACTTAAAATTTCTTAGTAATCTGTACTGTTCGCATGCTATGCCTTCTTTACTCAGAAAAACCTTGTAAACATTACTTGACTGGTTTGAATACCATTTAGCATTTTGAGTACCATATATATATATATATATATATATATAGCTTTTTTATTTCATTAATTGACCGTTACAATTTTTTTTTTGCGGTCTCTTGTAAGTATAACCCCAATAACGATAGCAAATAAAATTGTAATGGTAAAATAAAGCCAAAAATAGAAAAACAAAGCAATTAATTTATTCATGCCGCAATGCACTTTGGGAGTACACTTCCTCCGATCACAGACAGAATTAAGTTGACAAAACTTAAATGGATTAAGAATAACTTGATGCAATTAAGTTATGCTTACTTAATGAAATTAAGGCAACGAGTTTGCATAATAAAATTAAGTAAAACATAGATTTGTAGGTTGAATTGCATTAGAGTATTAAAAGATTTCTGACATGTATCATACTCGTTTTGCAAAGCGTCTGTGTAGCTGAAACACCAGTGCCAGCCTTTCTGTGGCACTTGTCTTGTTCCGTTTTGTAAGTTACATTATATCGGTGAAATTAATGATAATTCACAAGTGTCGTCACAGTTTTAGAATGTTGAGTATTGAATTCATTAAATTAATCATTTTATCTTAATAAACAGGACAAAAAAGTGATGATTGTATGGTACATCTGCTATTTTTACAAGTTTGCTACCTACTGTACAATGAGAAACTATATAAACACAGACTTGTAAATCAAACTTTTAATGTAGCAATTAGTGGCAGTTATTCCTGGTCAGGAATCTCATGTCGTAATGACACTGGGAGAAGTCACTGAAATGGTGTTTGTTTGTTTTTTTCTGGGATAGATTTCGGAGCAATCACACTCACTGAAAGTTTCACAGGTCTGCTGGTCAATCATGGTATCAGGTGTTACGTTTGCATCTTCATATCAATTTGTTTAAATGTCTTAGATTTTTTACAGAATTGTTTTCTATCATGTAAAGCTGATCTCTGGATAATGGAGATGACAATAAGTAGAACTGAATAAAAGTTATTAGGCTATAACTGACAACTCAGACCTCAACTGTCATGTTCGTAATTGATAAAGAGTGTTGGAATTTTTATTTATAAGTTCACACACGTCCTTTTTGTCCTCAACTTTCTGACCTCAAAAATTCGAACGGTAGTGTGTTAGCTACCAAATTTTTCATAAAACGTTAGACAAAATCCGATATTTCTGATATTTCATGGTGGCCTTAGACACCCTTACCTTAACTTAACTTGTACAGGAACGCACGAGGCCTGGGCTATTTCACTTCCAGATGTAGCCACAAGAGGCCGCCACAATGCGAGTTAAAGAAGCCCCTTGACACTTCCAGCATTAAAAGCTGACTAACAACATAAATGACGAGCCTAACCGAATGAGACTGCTCATCCAACAATAATTCTACTGGACCAAAAGGTCAAAGCTACCTTGATTAGATTCTGATTTTCAAAATCACATTACATTTGCAGGCAAATAGAAAGGCCTTTTAATCCTTAATGAAGGTGTTTGAAAGATTAGAGTCAGGACTACATGAGATTGTGACTGTGGACACGTGGTGTGTACCTGAGGGTAATTTTCTCTGTTGGATGCGCTGGCCGTCGTTCTCCTAATCAAGCTGATCTTGCCTTTCGGCTCACGTCTATTTATTCTCTCCACCTATTCTGCCGGCTATAGCAGCAAGATTAGCCTTCATTTGTTTGCAGTTTGATAACGTTTTCATTGTGTCCATTTCTCAAATTTAAAAATGGGCAGAAAATGGGGAAATGTTTATGTGTGTGCAGAGAGAGAGAATTGGAGCACATAGGATATATGATGTATGTATATACTGTATATAATATATATAACTAATTCTACAGAGCCCTATAAGGGGACCTATACAAAAAATAAAAAAATAAAACTTGCATAGTTTCGCGCACGCGATACGTTTCTTGTGCGCACCCATTACTACAAACTTCTCTAGATTACAAAATAATTAAAATTAATTTGGGATTTATGGAGTTAAATTGAATCTCTTTTGATAAAATGAATCAGAGAAGGGAAACATTGCGTGCGCAAGAGAAACTATCGCGTGCAATCGCGTGCGCACGCAAAACATTTCGCGTGGCAAATGAGTCTTCATTTATTTATTGTTTGCAAATGTCCATGCTCTTGTTTTCTTCATAGTAATGACAGTGACGCAAATTGTACGCAAACCAGAAATTGTAATGCGTGCGCACGAGAAACTTATCGCAAAACATTTCGTGTAGCACGCTATAGTCTTCATTTATTTATTAATTTATTTATTGTTTGCAAATGTCAATTTAGGGGCTCCATAAAATATTTTTTTTTTCAGAATTTTATGACAGGGCCTTCTGCATTAAAAACAAGCTGAAACGTCAGAAAACTCCTCAAGGCTTCATTTAATCTGCGAGAAGAGTCAAGTTCTGATAGCCTGGGTTTCCCCATTCTGCCTTGCCGCAGCGCGATTTAATTCGCCCTGCTAGGCAGTCTGGATACCATGAACCAAATTTTCCCCTGAAAAAGGGAACCAATCATAGAACGGGGAGGGAGCACAGGCGCATTTGATAGACATTTGTAGCACCCAATAATACGGCTCGGGCATTCGTAAACCACGCCTCAAATACGAGAAATTGAACGTGTGGTTTCCAGACCACGTTTCATTCTCAATGAGACGTGGTCTGGCGTTAGCCAGGCTAAAGTTCTGATGTTCCGCTGATATAATCAGCACATGCTGTACTTTATCCCTCCCGTTCCACCACTTATCGCGTACAATCGCATGTGCACGCAAAACATTTCGCGTAGCATGCGATAGTCTTCATTTATTTATTAATTTATTTATTGTTTGCAAATATCCATGCTCTTGTTTTCTTCATAGTAATGACAGTGACGCAAATTGTACGCAAACTGGAAATTGTAATGCGTGTGCATGCGAAACTTATCGTGTGCGCATGAGAAACATTGCGTGCGCAAGAATCACGTGCAATCGCGTGCGCACGCAAAACATTTCGTGTAGCACGCAATAGTCTTCATTAATTTATTGATTTATTTATTGTTTGCAAATGTCAATTTAGGGGCTCCATAAAATAATTTTTCCAGAATTTTATGACAGGGCCTTCTGCATTAAAAATAAGCTGAAACGTCAGAAAACTCCTTAAGGCTTCATTTAATCTGCGAGAAGAGCCAAGTTCTGATGTTCTGCTGATATAATCAGCACATGCTGTACTTTATCCCTGCAGTTTACCTGTAGGACTGAGCTTTACACTGTATGTAATATTTAATAATATATATTTATAAATGGCTCAGAGCTCTTAAATGCACCCTTTCCAGCCTTACAGAAATCTTCTGAAATTTGTTCATTCCCACCGAGCAAATACGAGAATAGCCTACACGCTGTTTACTTACTTTTTATCGACCCTATTTCCAGAATAATTTTCCAAACGTTATTTTCTGTTACTACAGAGCTCAGATTGTTTATTCTATACAAACGCTCAGATTTCTGCACCGTAATGATTTCAGCACACTTTCAAGGGAAAGTTTCTATCTCCCTCTCACTATCCATCCTTCTGGCTCTCCCTCACCCTTTCTCTGAAATTACACTCATTCATTCCCCTGTGTCAGAGCAGGAGAGAGAGAGACAGCGAGTGTGTATCTGAAGTTGACCTGGCTCTCTGAGAACATATGGATCTAATCTAAGACTCGATTGCTTGGCTCACATGTGATAGTACCCATCAATTCATACCCTGTGATGCAATGGGAGAAAATCCTTCCAGAGTTCTGAGGGTATTATATTTCAGTGTGGATGATGCCAGAGCAGAGCAGGGCAAAATAGATTGTGGTCTCGTAGATGTTAAAACTATTTCAATATCTAATGCTGCATTAGTCTCTGCTGTTTCATGAAAATATTGCCCTGCAATGAAAACAAACAAAAAGCAGCATTAATAATAAAAGAAGAAGAAAAGTAAGATGATGATAAGTCTAACTGTTTGTTTAAACAGTAACACTAAGTAAAGTTAGTGTTTTTCCATTATTTTCTCATGACTTGATCCAGGCCTGTTGCTTAAATTCACTGCCCCCAAGCCCAATAGGCAATTTCAGCACGGGGCCTGCCAATTACAGTATGGTTGATCACAAACTATTTCTTGCGAAAATATAAAAATATGCATGAACAAAAATAGCTGAAGTTAAAAAGCTGAAGCTCAGCTGAATCATTTAATTCTTCATAAAGTGTATTGGGTTAGAATTATTCCATGCTTGAACTTGGTCAATCGTGACATGCAGTGATCTAATATAAATATACTGTCGTCCATGGCAACAAATCATCAGTGTAACTGAAATCGGTGCTACTTTCATGTCTCTCATACACTTACTTGAAGGATTATCAGGAGCACCATACTAATACTGTGTTTGAACCCCTTTCACCTTCAGAACTGCCTTAATTATACGTGGCATTGATTGAACAAGGTGCTGAAAGTCTTCTTTAGAAATGTTGGCCCATATTGATAGGATAGCATCTTGCAGTTGATGGCGATTTTTGGGATGCACATCCAGGGCACGAAGCTCCCGTTCCACCACATCCCAAAGATGCTCTATTGGGTTGAGATCTGGTGACTGTGCGGGCCATTTTTGTACAGTGAACTCATTGTCATGTTCAAGAAACCAATTTGAAATGATTCTTTGTGACATGCTGGAAGTAGCCATCAGAGAATTCGGTGGCCATAAAGGGATGGACATGGTCAGAAACAATGCTTAGGTAGGCCGTGGCATTTAAACAATGTCCAATTAGCAGTAAGGGGCCTAAAGTGTGCCAAAAAAAACATCCCCCATACCATTACACCACCACCACCAGCCTGCACAGTGGTAACAAGGCATGATGGATGATGTTCTCGTACTGTTTATGCCAAATTCTGATACCATCTAAATGTCTCAACAGAAATTGAGACATTCAGACAACATTTTTCCAGTCTTCTACTGTCCAATTTTGGTGAGCTCTTGCAAATTGTAGCCTTATTCCCTACTTGTAGAGGAGATGAGTGGTACCCTGTGCATGGGGTCTTCTGCTGTTATAGCCCATCATTATGACAATTTGACATTAACCAAGAAATCATAACTAGTCCAACGTGTTCCACTTTAATGACACTGTTGTTAAAGCATTTGACAGTGTAATAACCCTTAATGACATCTTTATAACTAGTACAATGTGTTCCACTTTACTTGAGGACAAGTAAAATATTCATGTCACAGTTAGACATGACAACCAAAGTTGAAACCAACCATAACATATGACAGGGTAATGTAATGTTAACACAAAGCTAAATAACTTCTTTAAGTTTGATAATTCAACCTGTTAAGACATATTTGTGACAGGTTATAATTTCTTTGTTAATGTCAAGTTGTCATAACAAAGACATTTTAAACAATGTCTACTTTGCATTAAAAGTGTCATAATTTACCGAATGACAACAGTCATAAACATTCATAAAGACTCCTTCATGTTCATGACAGGTGTTATGTCATGTTTATGACAGTGTCATGTCAGTCTTATGCACACCCCATCAAATAAAGTGTTGCCGTTTTTTTTTTTTTATTCATGGAAATATATAATAAATAAAAGTTTTCATTGATAAAATATTTCAAAACTCACAGCATCAATTTGACCCACTATGCATTCTATGGATAAAATTACTTTGAAGAACATTTTAATACTTTGAAGAAACCTTTTTTTTTTTTTTCAATATTTAAAACCTTTTGTGCATTGGAAAGTTTCCATGGATGTTAACGTTTCTTCATGGACCCACAGGTAACAATAAAGAACCCTTATTTTTAGAAGTGAAGAAAAGACGCCCCATGATAAATCTGATCTATCTGTACAGGGCATTATTTGGTTAAGAATGTTCTGTTTTTAATAAGGAATCACCACTGTTAATAGAGTCTTAATTAAGCAGAAATCACCCACTCCTTTAAACTAATTAAACAACATTTGATCCATTTTATCACAAGGACTCTTAAATCGTTTTCAGTAGTTGAGGACAAAC